GGTGCCCCTGGTTGGGCGGGGGGTTGGGCTGGGTGACCCCAGAGGTCCCTGACACCCCCTGCCATTCTGTGATATCTGTGAAGTGCGGTGAAAGATGGCAGGAAAGAGAGGGTGAGAAGTGATGGGCACACAACCCAACAGAGGAAAGTCAGTGGAGAAGTGATTGCTTGGTAAAGCAAAGCAAACAGCCAGCCCCCAAATTTCAGTTCAACAACCACGCACCTACCAGCCCCTGTTCTACTGATGACACAGAGTTTATAACTAAGAAATAGACTCTTTACCCCTTTGCCAAATCGCTTATGGGCTGATGTGGGGCCTCCCCTCACAGACCCCACAGCTGTGGTGCCCCTGGTTCCTGTTCTTGAGATCAGCCAGGCACCCAGAGCACAGCGGCACAAGATCCAGGGTCCGTGCCCACCACAGCCCCGTACTGCCCAGCACGTCCTTGCTCGCATCCTGCACTCCCTCGCCGCTGTGAAATCAGATCCAGGCACCAGAGTACAAAGAATTATTTGCAATAAATGCACATAACCACTTCCTCATTTTTTCAATTCTTCATGCTTCTCCTAAACTTGTTACAGCAGAAGCACTTGGATCCTTTCCCCCTTTGCTCACCCCACCTGAATTATCACCTGTCTCAGTTGCACTGGGCTGTCTTTACCAGCCGCCAAGTTAACAAACTCCATTCTTTCTAGCTCACTGCCCTTTCTGCATTTTGTCATTATCAATTAGCTCGCTGCTGACAGATCTCCCTGGCAGGCTGCCCTTGTCAGGAATACAGAGGGGCGAGCACGGTGCTGGCAGGAACGCTGCTCTCCCACTGCCCCAGGCTCACCAGGAATCACAGAAGAAGCAGCACCTGAAGACCTTCCTCAGCGCTACCACCCCTTAAGGGACTTGCACAGGAACAGCCCTGTCCGAAACACTCCCCACCATATTCATGCTTAGTCTAGTAGTTAATGACTTCGTGTTTACCTGACCAGCTCCATCAGCCTCACTCCACCAAAGCTCTGCTTCTAATATTTCCAATCTACCTGCTTACTGCCAGGCTAATTGCAAGCTTGGGCTTTGATTTCTTACTAGGAACCAAAGGACAGCTTCCTCCCAAGGGTTCACAGAGGGACCTGCTTCTCTGCCATAAACCCCTGCTGATACTGCCCTGCCCTTGGCCCCTCCAAGAGCCTGCTCAAAGACAGGTTCATCCGAGCCCAGGTGTCCTTCTGGGGTCTGATCCCAAGACTACAGAGATCAATCAGGCTCTGCAGATGTCAGCTGGCTTTGGATCAGGTTTCTAGAGATGCAGCGAGAGGGCAACACTGCTCTTGAATCCAGCCTGCAAAGCACCACACTGTCCTACAGACACCTTTATTCCTGTTTCAAGCGTAGCTTTTGTCCTTATGGGGGAGTGAGGTTTTGTTTTGCCATTACAAAGACCTCGATAACTTCAGGTAAAGGGGAGAAGGAGAAAAAAAAGCAGCAGCATGGGTTTCTCTCACAAGACAGACTTTTTAAATCAAAGTAATTCATTAAGAACAGAGGCAAGGCTGTAAAGGATTTTACCACCAAACAAGCACAGATACTCTGTTGGTTATGCGAGTTGCCACCAAACTGGCAGCATGAATTCCTCACTGCAGCTCTAGAGGGAAGTCTACTGAGTCGATAACAACTTACACTGCAGCCCAGCTCTATAAAAAAAGTCCCCAGTCACAAGTGTCGTGCTGTAGGCTAAATAAAGGTGCTCTGTGTGCTGGCTTTGCTAAAACAAGTCACAATGCAAGAGCAAGGTTAGGAGATGAGGCTCTCTGTCACGGAGAAAGTGGAGTTTGCCGTGCTGTTTGAATTGCAGAAGAGTACACGATGTGTTGCAGGGCAGGTTGGGATTAGTAAACACAGTAATCAGCTAGCTGGGAGCAAATGTGGGCTGTCAGAGAAGCTCCCAGAGCAGTTTATCAGGCCAATATTTCCTCCGCAGAAGGGAGCTTTTAAATAGTTACATAAAATTCTTTTTTGATTGATCACAGCCAACACCGAGATCATCTCAGGCTGAGCTTTCAGACCACGAGTAATCGCTGTTTTGGGCAAGAACTGTCTTAAAGTTTCTGTGGATAATTGAGAGAAAAAATGGAGACTGAGGAATTAGGAAGCTACATTTTCTTATCTGCAAAGGATTTATGCTGTCACTCACGACTTGCTGTAGGTCTGATAAAAAAACATAGTGCATTTCCAATTAGGACTGCAACTTAGATGTGTGAGCTGGGAATTTAGGCCAGATGTAGAGTGCTCTGAAATGAACCTGTAGCCTATAATCGCTCTGAGTCTGCTAAGCTACAGCAACACTTAGTAATTCATTGCTTACAGCCCAGGCTTAATTTAGGGCCTGATTCCCATTTTTATTATTTCTGACTCACCCCTCATCAAGCAGACAGCAATACTTAGCTTATCTGGCCTTCAAAGAGCTTCACATATCAACCCACAACACCCCTGGCCGAGAGCCATGAATAGCTACGGCTGTATTTAAGCAAGAAGAATTAAGACATGGAAGCC